CCACTATGCTTAGTCAGCAGGTCTGGCCAACCCAACTGGGCGCCTTCGCCGCCCAGCCAGGCAGACCTCTAACTATCACCAATTCACATTACTTTCACCTAACAACTAAGTCTTACGCGTAAGCTAAGCCAACCGTCAATAAGGATAATTTTTAAGTATTAAGTTAAAATAAAACTTTTTTAAATTAATTTATTTAACTTTAAACTTTTTTAAACTTAAATTTATATTATTAATTTTATAATAAATATTAATATTAAAAGTTATATTATAGAAATTATTTTATTTTTAAATAATTTAAAAAATTATATTTATTTTAATAGTTTAAAGTCTTTTTAAACTAATTTTTTAAGTTATTTTTTTAATTATAATATTTAAGTTTTTTTTTTAATAATAAGAAAGTATAACTTATCTTAAAATAAAGTTTATTCTTTATAGTTTTTTTAATATATATTAATTTTATTAATCTTTAAATTAAATTAAATCTATTAATATATTATAAAATATTTAGTTTAATTTAATCCTAGATTTATTGCTTATAATAGTAGGAGTATAAACTTATATATATATTTTTAATAAATTATTTAAATATTTAAATTAATAATTTTAAAATATTTATTTTATAGTAATTAAAGACTTTCTATAAGTAAATTAATATATTTATCCTAACTTTATAAAAATATAAAATTATAATAAATATATAAATTAAATATCTTTAATAATATTAATAAATCTTCTATATTTTTATTTAATAATAATATAATAAAATAATTTTTTTTTATATTTATTTTAATAATTTCAAGGTTTTAAGTTTAATTTATATTTAAAATATTTATTTTATAATAAAAAAGTTATTAATATAGTAGTTATAATAGTTCTTTATTGCTTAATTAATAGGAAGGTATTTATTTATATAAACCTTTTAAATAACCTTTTAATAGTTAGTTACTAATAATTAACTACTTTTAATACTACTTTTCTACCCTTATATATATAAGCTTAACTAATAAAATAATATTTTTAACTTTATTTATATATTATAAAATTAAAGTAATAAATATTTATTATATTATAATTATAATTATTATTATTATATTTTTATAAATATTAAATATTAAATATTTATTATTATATAAAAGTATTATATATATTTTTAAATATATATAAAATAAAAATAAAATTATATATAAATTTATTAATTAAATTTATAAATAATTAATTTATAATTTTAATAATAAATTATTAATTAAAGTAATTTTTATAATTTATAATAAAAGTTTAAATTATTAATAAAAATTATTAATTTAAAATTAAAGTTATTAAAAATAATATAATAATTAAAATATATAAATTTATTAATTAATATTTAATTTTTTATATTAATTAATTAATAAACTATTTTTATTTATAATTTTAATAAATATTATTTTAAAATAATACTTTTAATTTTATTTATATATTATAAAAATAAAATTATAAATATTTATTATATTATAATTATTATTATTAATTTTATATTATTTTTAAATTTTAAATTTTAAATACTTATTATTATATAAAAGTATTATATATATTTTTAAATATATATATAATAAAAGTAAAAATATTTAAAATTATATACTTTTAATTATTATAATAAATATATAATAATTAATATTATATTTTAAATAAAATAAATAATTAAAATAAATAGAAAATAAAACTTATTTAATAAATTACTTAAAAGAATAAAAAAGAAAGATTAAATTAATATAAGACTTTTCTTATATAACTCTAATTAGAAAACCTACATTGTGGTAGGCAAGAATGAGTGCAAGCGGTCAGTCAACTGGGTGCTCAGCTAGCCCGTAGCTGGCGGCCAGCTGGCGACCCCTCTGTTAGCTTTCCTAGCAACCAACAAACTTCAATGCAACCTCGTTGCCCCTTAAGCTCTCCCACAGAAAAACTTGGCCAAGCTGGGAGAGACATTCTCTTTTCGAAGCTCGGGACAATTCAAAGGTCGCCTGGAATTTATAACATCCCGATGGCTGCAAAGCTTATGGGTTCGTCGCTATTGTACAGGATATCCCAAAGGGAAAGCCAAGTTAACTCACACCGCCATCTGACACTTGATCTACACATCACGATATCTACAAACTTAACATTAAACAAAAGACAGTTGCTTTCTATACAGGTCTGTGATGAAAGGTACCACTTAGACTCAGAAGAACTTTCCTTCAAGCGATCTATAATAAATGATTAGATCCGAATCGACGGGCATCATCGGCCACCCTGCATCGCTCCGGGTCTTGGATGAGGCAAACGTGAAAGACCGCCATTTACTTCCCTCTGTTACCAGCACTGAGCATACCGGAATGACTTGTCGTCCCATGCGGCCGCTTCTTCTCATCTATAACTAATACGACATTGGGATAACACATGCAGAACCGAAATGATGGAGGAGTCGTGTAGGAGTAGATCTCTAGCTCGGTATGCAAACTGTTTGTTTGCAGGTTTAATTATCGAGTGCAACACGAGGCTGAGTGTCTATCACACGTTGATCATCGCTATGAATAGTGCATGTTTGCAAACGTTAGGTCTTGGGAAGTTTACCTTCGTATGAATGTGCCTAGGTGCCGCGGATGGCTCTAGACGTATAGGGAACAGAAGCGAAATTAGTTACTTGGGTAGGAATGAAAAGAGTTTACTATCAGTTAATCGAAAGCAACCGTGGATTTTGCAATAAACAAGACACGATGGGGATCCATTGGATCATTTGGACCAAACGAGCGAGAACGAGCAAGGTCAACATGAAGCCCGAGCTCCTCGCTGCACAGGTGGCGGTCTTGTTCTGTTTGACTAGTAATTATTCCCGCCTTGGCGCAGAGTGCACCCGTTTCCTCCGTTCTGGGCTAGCAAATGACCCAGCAGTACCACACAGGACGCTTGGCTCCGTCCAGATGCTTTCTTTTCCGTAGGCTGGCCCCTGACAAGTTTGCCGCCCGTGTCAGCGAGCCGGGTCTCTCGGAAAACGGCCAAGGACAACATGCTTGACTCCCGATGTTCGCGTCGTGCAAAGTCTCCGCAGAAAGGGGGCCGGATTACAGTCATCATAGAAGACGAGTCTGCGTTCCAATGTGGCGTGTCGTCTTCGTATCGCACGCGCGTCGTCAGGCTTTGGAACAATTTATACCCGACTGCAGTGTTTTGACCATGTCCGCGCGCCTCGAAACCTCCTGCTCCACGAGGCCGACATCTGTTGCTGGCAGGAAGAAGAAACAATTGTGCAAAACATTGGACAAGTGAGAGCCAAGAGTATTTTGGAAATAGGGGCCAAGGCCTGTTATCAGCCTCAACCCGTGCTGTTCTAGAGCGTCCCGGACCAGGTCAGGGGATAGATATCCTAAACGTCAGACCCACCGGCAGCCCGGCGTGCCCAGGAGGCGAGCAACCGCTGCCACGTTTGCGTACGCGCAAGCGGGCGGGCCCACATAACAGGGGGACTGCCGAATGGTAGTGTGGCTCGGGGACTACTGCATTGGCTATTTCCATCTTTTATGCTTTTTGACCCGAGGTGTTAGCGCTGGGCGTTTCGTCGATCCATCCTTGTGTCAATTAAATTCGGCCTCCACCCACAGCCAGTCTCAGCACCCAAGAATGAGTGTCTGCGCGGGGACGAGCAAGGGCTGGGCATCGGCGATCATCTTAATACTCACGAGGCAATCTACATACCTAGGTATTTTGAGTTTGCCCAGGAAGTAGTCTTCTCTCAGCTTAGGTTCACTGCTAGTTCGTCTGGGGAACTGTTTATCGTGAATAAGCTCAAGGTTAGACCGATCTCTGGCCCCCAAACACACAGACACACTGCCAACCTATTCAACCAGAGACGAACCTGCCACAGGAGCCGCACGCCGCCTGGTGGATGACGCCAGCTGCGACGGCGGTATATTCGATTTCGGGCGATGCGAGTCCAGAATCCAATGTCGGACGACAGGCATTTCCCGCCCCGACCAGAGGCATCCTGGACCCGAGTCAGACATCCAATCCCCGGACCTTGATGCTGATCCCCCCTTACCCAATCCTAACCGGTGATCTGTGCCGTGCATATGTGACAGAACCTTGACTGGACCTTGCTCGGCCGAGCCGCACATTACCTCAGCGGGCCCTAGCAGTCTCAGAGGACGCATTCATGGTCGATTTTCTTGGACGTAGCCAATGGCAGTACACCAGTTGTGCTGCGGCGATCTCCACTGCCCACTCAATGCCCTTCATATCTCCACCGCGTATCGTGGGGGCTCCCCTTTCCCCTTCGGAATGGCAGGCGGGATCGATGCTAGTCGCCGTGAGGATCGTCAAGGGCCCCAGGCCTTGCACACCTTGCACAAAACCCCCGAGAGTACCGTAGAGTCCGCAGCCTTCTTTCTAGCGTAGTTGTCAAGGAGCTGCGTGAACCTATCGGCGCAGAGCTCCACTGCTCCTGTCATGCTGTGGATTCGTACTCCATCAGGTTAATATCTGTGATGCGTGTCTAGGAACCCACCCGCTGCGGTTGCATCTAAAATGAGCAGCCAAGTGCCTCTTAAAGAGAGCCGCGGCCCTCTGTGGCACAGTAACGATGATGGATGGTAGCTGACGTCTTCCCATATTGTGCACGTCTAGATGACCTGTGTTTCAATTCTTGCTTCTGTTTCTTACTTTTTTCTGTTGTTCACCCTCATATTACCTGACGTTGATCCGTCGCAACACTTCTTTCACTTCGCCTTTCTGTGCTGGCATATCGATTCTGAATACTAGAATTATTTCCCATTCCATTCAGCTCGGCGACGTCCTGCCTCTCCCTCACATGTTTAGCCAGGACCGGCACGTACTTGCCTCCCCTTGCGCCTGGTATCAGCCAGAGCCCTTTCCTTAACCCACCTTTACACAACCATACGTCAAACACTATGTCACTCCATCCATCCTCCGCGGCCAGGAATCCGGCCAGGGACTCCCGGATCCCACAAAGGCGAGCCAACAGAGTCACGATGTGGCCTTCGCCATTCCAACAGCAGCAGCAAAGCCACGATGAAGAGAATATGATCTGGCCTGGACAGTTTCGTAACACTCAGAGGTGGACTAGTAATTTCGACGCGGAGGCATTGGCATCTCGAATGAGTGTCTACGTCGGCGACGGTCTGCTCCCGCAGAGCCAACGCTTTCCCGACAAGTGGACAGGGCCATCATATCACCGCAAGTCGAGACACGGAGACCGGGCCACGTGGATGCACAGCGTCCTGAAGGACTACGAGGAGGATTCCGTGCCGATATGGGAGGGGAACTTTGACGTGGAGAAGAGAGATTCATTTGCCAGTCGCCCGTCGGGTCTCAGTGGGAGGAGTTGGTACCACGAGGCTATCGACCCGGAAAAGTTCGACTACCGGAAGCCCAGAGAGCCCCTGACCGAGGAGCAACTCAGCCAGGCCGACCGAGATGGTGGGCTCGTGACAAAGGAGGTGCTCATGTATGACTTCCCCGGCGAGGGCACACTCGATGACCCTTATATGGTGTCGTGGATAGAAAACGACCCCGCCAACCCGTTGAACTTTGCCAAGAGCAAGAAGTGGCTCAACGCTATGATCCTGGCTATCGCCGTGTGGACCGTGTCGGTTGCCTCGTCCGGCTTTTCCCAAGGTCAGTACCTGCACAGCCCCACCCGTCGCGACATGAAGCTCACCGGTTCCCATAGGTACCAGGGATATCAAGACCGACTTCAATGTCGATGCTACCGTCGCCCTCCTTCTAACATCCGCCTTTGTTCTGGGCTTTGCCATCGGCGCGCTCGCCCTTTCCCCAATGAGCGAGGTCTACGGCCGACGTGAGCTCTACATCTGGACATACGCAGCCTTTGTTGTTCTCTCGGGCGTCATTGGGCTCCTCAACTCTGCCCCATTGCTCATCCTCGCCAGGTTCCTTGGTGGTATTGCTGGGTCTTTCACCCAGGCTGTTGCCCCTGCAGTCATTGCCGACATGTTCAGGGCGGACGAGCGTGGATTTGTTCTTGCACTCTTCACACTGGCCGGCCTCATGGGTCAGATGCTTGGTCCTATATTCTGTGGTTTCCTCGACGCCGCTTTCGGCTGGCGCTCCTTGGCAGTCTTCATTGCTGGGCTCGCCGCTCCCACTTGGTTCGCTATGACTTTCACATTCCCGGAAACTTATGCACCCACCCTACTTCGCCGCCGCGCCGCAAAGATGGAGGCTATCCTCGGCAAACCACACCTGGTTGACGGCGTTGGTGAGGAGAAGACGCTCTTAAGTCAGCTCAAGGTCGGTGCGCTCAGACCGTGGCTTCTTCTGGCGTTCGAGCCTATCGTCGCACTGCTGAGCGTGTTTCTATCCGTGGTCCAGGGTACCATGTTCCTCCTGTTTGCTGCCTACCCGATCGTCTTCCAGCAGGTTCGCGGATGGCGACAGGGTGTTGCTTCTCTGCCATTCCTAGCTGTCGCATTGGGCATTGTCATCTCGCTGTTCTACGCGGCCCTATTCGACCAGCAGCGTTACGCCAAGGTCCTCGCCAAGAACGGCGGCAGGGCTCCCCCAGAGGCCCGTCTCCCACCCGCGATGCTGGGCTCCGTCGCACTGCCCATTGGGCTATTCTGGTTTGCCTGGACCAACGACCCGTCCACTTTCTGGCTCATCTCTGTCAGTGCAGGTGTCTTCACGGGCTTTGGGATGGTGCTGCTGTACATGTCTTTGACGAATTACATTGTTGATACGTACCTGGGATATGCAGCCAGCGCGCTGGCAGCATCGACGGTATGCAGATCTGTGGCGGCCGCCGTCTTCCCTTTGTTCACCAACACCATGTACAACTCACTGGGCATTCACTGGGCGTCGTCAGTCCCAGGTTTTCTCTCTGTCATTTTTGTCCCTTGTCTTTTAGCGTTCTACAAATGGGGGCATATTATCCGTAGCAAGACCAGATTCGCCCAAGAGGCAGCTAGGATAGCTGAGGCAATGTCTGGGGGTAAATGATGGCCAGAAGCGGCAGACTTTTCGATGTATATAGTAGTATTGCTTGGTTGCCATCGGCTTGGTAGTTCTCGCCGAGGCTTCGACATGCACATAGCCCGCGATAGAAATAGACCGTCCGAAATTGACACGCGTGCAGGCCATGCACACCCTCTGTCTCATCCACTGGATGACAGGGAAATTTATCCAGTATCGCCAAAATGGGGATTCGACCATATATCCAACCTGTCAGCCTCTATCACATTGCTCCTTGACCAAAGCATGACCATCGAGACCCCAAACGCGTCACCTCCTCACTGCCCTTCTTGCACGCGTTCCATGTCTTGGCCCTCAGCGATAGCTGCCTTCCCGGCTCGTCTATCACCGTTTTCTCGACCTTTACGAGTAGCTTTCCTTCTGTCGGGCAACCTCCAAGATCCTTCAGTTCGATAAGCCTGTACCCCTCTTCTAACCTGTCGAGTCGTATGCAGGCCCATGAGGTGCACTGGTCTCTGATTCTGATGAGGCCGGTATCCTCAACCCTGAATCTGCAAGGACTGTTAGCCGTGGCCTCCGAGATGAAGAAGACAAGTAGACAGCTAGTTAACATACCTTAAAAAGCTCAACTGCTCCACAACATGACTCACTTCCGGGAACTGTAGCGTTGACTCATTCTCCGGCCAGACTGGATGCTGGGTTTCTGCTGGCTTTGTTTCCCTGCAAATCTCGTCTTCGCCCAGTTTCATGATGGGGCTTCTCTCCCCTTGGCTTTCCACGTGTAAGTAACACTTGACTCTGGGCCGAAAATCCGTATCATGCACCTCGGACGTGGCTGGACCCTCCCTCATGTCCGGATCACCATTTACCGTCGTGGATGAGACGCTTGGGCTCGTCTTCATGACATGATCCTCGCCAGCTATGGCTCGCGGCATCGGGATGTTCTGCCCTCCCATGATCGTGATACGCAGACTAAGCTTTTTCTTCCCTGTGACGTGCGCTTGGCAAGTAGCCGTTGACCCGGACTGGTATCCTTCTGGCTTGAGGACCCATCCGTGGGTATCATCAAACATGGCGTCGTTCAGATACATTGCCGTGTCCCAGTGCTGCCAGTTCAGTGAAACCATTTGAACACCCTTACGCCAGCACAGTGTTGGGAGGTTGGGATTAGCGGAGCGAAGGCTGGCAGGGAATGTCCGTGCCAGGTAATTCTTGTTGTGCTGGAACACATCCTTGTGTTTGGTTCTGTGGAGACCCTTCAGCTTTTCCTCGCTGAAGCTGAAAATGTGGGCCGGCTTCTGGGAGTCTTTCGAGTTCAGAGACTTGAAGGGTCCGGCGCTGTAGGTATATATGGCCAACTTATTCAGTGCGTAGTCCATCTTTTCTTCGTTGACTCGGATATGCTTTTCTTCCGGGACTGAGCCGTAGTATTCCTTCGCGCTCATTTCGCTAGGCATTACTCTCTGGGAGGGACCAGGATTGGATAGCTTGGAGGGGCCAGTTTGCTGACTCTTCCGCTTCCCCTTGATGAGTATCTTCCTCTTGAGATCCACCACACTTGGTTGGTGTGTCTCTGGGTCGCAGCCCGGTAATGCGCTCTCAAGTAGCAGGCCGGCCCATTCTTCTCTCATGATTTTAACCATCTCTTTGTGTTGGTCGCCGGTGGTGTGGTCTTCGAGGCTGATGATGAGTGGAAGGTCGGTTTGTTCGAACGCCACATCCTTGACCGCTCTACACACGAGCCTGAACGCCAACCCAGTGCGAGCGCTGAGATCACCTGCGATGGTCGGGAGGCAGTGGCAGACACGTGGTTCGAGTTCGAGCTTCTCGTCCCAGTCCCTGTTGGAAAGTGCCCAAGATCGTGCAAGCGGTTTCCGCGAGGGCTCTCTCTTGGCGGCACTTCCTCCGTGTTCCACTCGGTTCTTCATCCACGAGAGGAACGTGTCCAATGACCAGTGTCCTTGCGCTGGCCGAGATCGGGGGCTGCGAGGAGGGTCGTTGCAGCGTGGCGAGTTCCAGACATCAATCTCGACACACCTGCATCCTCCTCTGATGACCTAGATGCCCCCATGTTAGTCAAACATGAGTGGGCCTTATCTATACTGTACACCCATTTGGGAGTTCTACTCACCTTTCGATACTGCTCCGTCGAGATGACTCCGCTCACCTGATCGCCCTCTCCGATGTAAGTGTTGTGGCTGCTGTTGATGTAGTAGTTGGATATGGGTTTACTGAAGTCCACCTTGTCCAGCTCGAGTGGTCGTTTCGAGCGGCTGGCGTGTTCATACCAGAAGTCGCAGAACTCGGGAAAGGTGTACGTGCCCCCAGCGGATATTTGGTTCAGACATGCCGCGGAGTTTTGCTTTTGCTCTTCTTTTACAAAGAGGGCAAGATCTGAAGCGGAGAGAGTCTTTTCTGGTCCCTTCCACTGGTCATAAAGCCTTTTCAGGGCCTGCCGGATACTGGGCTCAAGGCGAGTCGGCCTGGTGCTGAGCGATCCAACCGAGTCGGATCCTCGACAGTCGCGAGACGGCGTGTTCTTGCAGGCTGCGGAGGATGGGCAGTTGACGTGTGATCCATGTGAGCGTCCCCGGTGACGGCGCCTGGCCTCGATGCACCCCGGCGCCGCGGCGGTCGAAGGTAGTGACGAATTCGGCATTGCCCGCGAGCTCGGAAGCGGGGTGAACACGTCCTCTGTTTCCGCCACGGCAACAACGATCTGGCGGAATTCCGTGCAGAGGTAGCAGTGGAGGACACGAGGCGAGGTAACAGATCTCAGAGGTGGAGGAAAGGAAAGGAGGCAGGTTGGTTTTGTGTCACTTGCCCGACGTCACAAAACAGATTGGTCATGACTGTGATGCACGTCAGGTAAGCGCTAAACCCCGAGGTGTGAGGCTTGGGCAGGGGGATTTTCAGCTGAGCCTCATCGGTCGTAGCACCGCAGATCCTCGGGCACGCTGATGATATTTGCGGGGTCGATTCCGCTGAAGCCTAGCACTACTCTGGCCCGAACCGCGAGCCAGTTGATAGATCCAGGCAGTTGATCACCTCGGCATGTTGCGCCCCAGACATTGAAGGATGCCTGAAGATCAGCATGGGCAATAGTCGTGCTGACCGCGGTGGGGTGAGCCGCGGTTTTTGGGGAAGTAAAGCCAAGCCTAGTGCTTGCAGGCAGATGATTGATACTCATTAGTAGCTATTAAAGTACACTACGCGTGAAATGGGCTCGGCTTGGCAGCGCCACGGCTGAAAGTCTGGCCTTCCACTCCGAGTCTGGGGGATGTCTGTTGGTCTGCGGGCGTGGGGGCTATGATCGAACTGGCTTTTTTCCTACCCAGAACACGCTACTCGAGTGCTACGCCGCAGACCGGCATAGGCTACACGGGGGGCTTGGAGCCAACGTGCATATCTAGGGTAGCATCGGCCATAGCCACGCATTTGTCACCGCCACACTGCAGCTCTGACTGAGAGAACTACCAGTCTGTGTGGAAATTGGCCAATGGCGACAATTTGTCGAGCTCAGGATGCACGTGAGACGCCCGAGCTGTTTATATAATAGAGATTCTCATACAATATACGTGTAAATCCGTGCTGTCCTTGTCGGAGACGCGAATTCGAGGGGAATCCGAGTCAGGTGCCTGCCCCAGGGTGGACGGAGCACACCGTACTTGAGTAAGTACTTAAGTAGGCTACAAGAGACGGCGGCTTGCAGGGTCTTCAACCCTATCCCTGCGGCTCGACCGTATGGTCGTCGTCTTTATTAGGTCTAGGCATAGCCTGTTCAATTTGTGTCCCCGGGAAATAATTAATCCAAACCAGGACGAAAGTCTATCATGTCTTTCTTACTCACTTGGAAATAAGCTTTTCTGATAGGATTGGACCATGATAAAGGCTGACAGGTAGTGGGGCCGTGAGATACAAGCATCAGTGACGGAAGATGAGCCACTACATAGCACAGTCCGAGCTCAACATTTGAAGTCTTTTCTGTTCACTGGCGTAATTGGTGTACCATGTTTCGTGGCCACAGCCCTCGGACCTCCGGGCACAATGACCTGCATGAGGTGATCTTCAGATCCAAGGTGTGTGACCAGACAAAACAGCTTAACTTGCATGCATCAGTGCCATCAGACAGAGCTCGTTCACGTCATAATGTATTACGGATCCCCTCCCACAAGAGCCATGCTGCAAAACCAGACGGAAGACTGAGAAGTCCAGGCACTTTATCAAGTTTTGATCAACATGTCTAGAATATGATTGATCGCCGGTTCTTATTAATAACCTGGGGCCTTCCTTGGAACGGCCAAAGGTTGGCTGTGCGGCTGTGAAAGCTATGCCAAGTTAGGCTACGGATACTTAAGGTTTCTGCATTTTAGTAGCCGAGACAGCCTTACACGAAGCGTGACGTGAGGCCCAAACAGGCATTGCGGGTCACATATGCGGCACATCGGGTGATCTGTTAACTCAAGACGGATGGTCCCGTGGCTAGATCTCCGAAGCCCAAAATTCACGATACCGCCGTTGGCATGATAAAAGCGGGAGGAAGCGCAAGGAGCTGAAACTAACCAGTCCATCTGACTGTCTGAGCGGTGAAGATGCAGCTGATCTCGTTGTAAGTGCACTGGCTCTTGAGATCGAGATTGAAAGGTAAGATTCACAGCCATCTCATGACTGCTGGTATACCAGGGAGTGAAGAGGGAACGGATGAAAAGTTGCTGCTTAGGCCCAAATGGTTGTGAGGTAATCGGGTTGCGACCTGTCGTGAAACACAGGCTAGGCACTCGGGCCCTCTGGAAAGCATAAGGTGGAGCTCTAGCTTCTGCTTGACAAAGTTTAGACCTATACAGACCACGCCAATAGTAGATGAACCGGATACTGGACCCTTGAATGTGCGCCGCGCCCACGCTTATGTAGGCGCGGCTTGGAGGGAACGTCATCCGAAGGGCATTGGTGTTCCGCTTGGACACACACAGTTATGCAGCTGCTGAACTCTAATTTCACGACAGCCTCGGGAACCTTGGGAAGTAAGTATTCAGATCTTCAGGCGGTCTGCATGGCAAGCTTTATCGATTAAGCAATGTTCCTCAGCCCCAGGCGCATCTTTCTGTGCCGCTTCAGGCAAGCTTGCACACAAAGGCTCAGCATGCAAAATGAGATGACGGGAAAGATTTCCTTTGGTCTGGATCAAGTACCAAGGAATTGGACACATTTCTCACCTCATTCTGCAGGAATTAAGGAGCGATTAAGGCCCGAGGCAAATGATCGACTAACATGAAGAGTGTAGGGCATATCATCATCAGATCGGGCCGTCTTGCATGTGTCATGACGAGAAGTCCTTGTCCGGCACAAAGTAGTCCACACAAGTCAACATGCTTGACAAAAACATGCGGCGCTGATGGTTTGTCTGCCCGGATTAAACGATGTACGGCTGCGAAAAACTACCTGGGAAGTAAACTCCCTGATATTGAAATTCACCTCATCATATCATGCTGTAATGCCATACGGCATCACACCCCAAAATAGCCGCAATGTGATATGACCAAGCTTGGCGCCGTTCAGCCTAGCTTTGTTGGTGTTGGATGATCCTTATTGCAGGTGACTCGCGAATAGCGAAACTTTAAAAGTGAAGGGTGTTGGGTAAGTAGTAAGGGCAACATTAAATGTGCAACGAAAAAGATACTCCGACATCTATGCCAAGGCAGCGCTGGTTGCAAGGTGGTGCTTGTAGCCCAGCCATCATTTCCCTGTTCGAATAGCACAATCACCCCACGGTGAGATTGTAAGCCCTAACAAACCAACTTCACGTTTGTCTTTTGCTGGCCGAGGGGCAGGAGGATGATCAACCGATCTTGGTGCCCAGAGGGTGGCGCTCGTCATTGTGTCATGGATTGGGCAGGAGCGCAGAACACTATATCAAAAGCAAATAATTGAGACGTACGATGATGTTGCGCCTGATGACATGCTCACCTGACAGGAATTCACCATCTATGGACGCAACGTAATCGGTAAAATCTGCTTGAGGCCACGAAAAACGACGTGTTGTGGGTAGTGTACCGACTCGCCAAGGTATAAATACTGCTCGCTTCGCGCTGGAGAAACATGTCGAGAATGTCGATTCCACCCTGCATACCCTCCTCTAAATCCCAACACATTCAATCCTCCCTAATTAGTATCCAGTGACACCAAAATGGTGTTTGAAGGCAGCCCGGAAAGCTCGGTTAAGAAGAAGCTGTCTTACAGCCTCCCGAGTCCTGGTCCTTTTGACCTGGAGCGAGGGCCAGACCCCGGAACCCCGAGTCCTTCTCGAACCTACACTCGTGAGTCGGATGATGTGCCCGGTTCAGGAGCATCTCAAAAGCCACTTCACGCTGCTCCCGGGTCTCCTGGACACCATGGATTCGGGCGACATCTTCCCAAGATGGGTTCCACACTGAACCGCACCTTCACCCAGCAGTTCAGAGCTGCTGATAGCGGCGAAAAACAACCATCCTTTAGGAATCTCTTTCGAGGCGGGAAACAGGCGGGTAAACATTGGAAAGGCCGTGAGTTAACTACAGGGGCAATCTCCCCGCTTGAGTACCCTGCAAGAACTAAAGTATCATGTGACGCAGACATTGTTGCCGCACTGGGAGAGTTCGTTGGCACCACCATGTTCCTCTTCTTCGCATTCACCGGCACGGCAGTTGCTAAAATCCCTGCCGGGGATGCTTCCTCTGGTCTCAACATCCCAGCCCAGACGTACATAGCTCTTTGCTTTGGGTTCTCCCTTATGGTTAACGTCTGGGTCTTCTACCGTGTTTCTGGCGGCTTGTTCAACCCTGCTGTAAGTATTCCCAAGTGCCCCTAGCTAAATACCCTACTCACATCCGATTCGCTTGGCGGTGGGCACCCAAATCAATTGCCCGCAACTGACATGATCGTTGCTCTGCTCCAGGTTACACTTGCACTCGTACTCATCCGCGCCATCTCACCCGTGCGAAGTGCGTTTGTGCTTGTTGCTCAGTTGCTAGGTGGTATTGCCGCAGCAGGCTTGAGCACGGTTTTATTTCCCACGCCAATTGACGTCAGTACCTCTCTTGCAGATGGGGTTTCTCTCGCACAGGGCTTGTTCATTGAGGCCTTGTTGACGTTTGAGCTGGTTTTCACTGTCTTTATGCTGGCAGCTGAGAAGCACCGTGCTACATTCGTGGCGCCAGTAGGTATCGGACTGGCTCTTTTCATTGCTGAGTTGAGCGGCGCCTACTATACTGGTGGGAGCTTAAACCCCGCGCGAAGTCTGGGCCCATGCGTGATTTCAGCTGAATTCCCCAGTGAGCACTGGATTTACTGGGTTGGCCCTGGCATCGGATCAATTGCAGCATTCGCGCTGTACAAGGCCATCAAGTTGTTGCATTATGAGACAGCCAACCCGGGTCAGGACGCTCCTCACGAGTGACGGAGGGAACAATGGGATGGGGAACAACCAGATTGATTCTGCTGTTTTCCCCCCTGGGGTGGGGGAGCGGTGTCCCATGTAGGATGTGGGAGTTGGACGAGTTTAGGATCCTCGCTACCTAGTTATCGCGTTCAGGATTCGTCCCGTCAGGTGTACCTGGCTTGTATTGCATTTCATCTGCTCACGCTCCCTTCTTGTGATTATTTTATTCAATTATATAGTAATTGATCATTCCAACAAAAGCGAGGAAATAACGTAAGAAATTAAATGGGAAGTCTCGTCTGGCGTCTTTCAAATTGAGACCCATAGTGTCGACCAAGCCCCAGTTCTCGGGAGAGTTGGGTCGTCGCTTAAGACTCGTATTCGCCTAAGGCATGCGGTAAAGGACCGGGAGCTAAGGTTCTACCAGTGAAGAGTCTGGAAGTTATCGTTGGAGCCGCTGAGGGGGGCGAACAAACCAGAACAGACCTGGAGGTGACGTCTGTTCACGGGAGACTTCGGCTTGTCATAGCCTGTGATGCAGCTCCAGCTACCCCAGGCCGCGATTGTCCGTGGTCCATCGAGAACCTTGGTCCTACTACCAATCAACTAAATCCTGAGTTTATCGGAATATTTAAAGTCCAACAAAGATTCAGGAAGGTTCTTTGGTGGCAGGAGGGACGGCTGGGATCAACACATACTGGCGTCATCGAGTAAAGAAGCACGTGAAATGCGTGCCAGATTTTGATAGGATATCGAACCAGGGTCCCCAGATTCAGAAACGTAGATGTATTTCCGAGCAATGTAATTACGTCGAATGACAGGGTAGACTAGATGCTACGCCGGCTGCCATGCTGCGTTAGGCATTTGGCCTTCCCAGACGCCATTTCGCATCAATGATGTGAGAAGCAAAGATTGAGGAGATGTTACACAAAGAGTGGTCGAAAGTGACAGGGCATAAGATATCAGCCTACAGCTAGCTGCTGACATGCCCAGGTTCCCAAGAGCTTACTTTGTACACGCTCATCATGTGCACACTCAGGTAGACTGTCACCATCTTGGCAGACAGATATTTTGTAGATCATACCCTTTATGGCGGCTTCTCGTCTTACTGATGTTATATGGTCGGTCAGTCGACCTTGCTAGTGAATGAGCCATAATGAGTTCTGCTCTATAAGCTCACATCTAACGGCATACTTGCATGACGTCTCAAATTCAGTTTTACTTGGGAATAAATGCAGCTTATTCCTCTATCAGACGCATCGGTTTATAGATGGAAACTTGATTGACATCCCTTTATTGACGACTCCAACCAAATAGTATTGCCCTCTATGAAATCATTCACTATACATTTGATTCCCCTTCTCTGGGTCATGAGTGAGCTTGCCGGACTCTCAGCAGCTCGCATTGTTGCAACCGATCAAGTTCCTCTACTCGGTCCATCTTTTGCTTCAAACTTTGACAATTCCAAGTCTCCGGCAATAGTCAAGGCGAGATCTGAATTCCCTGGCATCATTGAAAGCCTTTTTTCATCCGGGGACCTAAATCGGACGGATCTCATATTTGCTGTGGATGTCTTCTCTGCCTCGACCAATGCCTCCATCTATAACTACTACCATATTGGCGAGGGCCAGGAATATGCCCTCAGCGCGGGACGGCTTAATGATCAGACCATATCGAGAATCGGGAGCGTATCGAAACTCTTCACTTCTTACGCCATTATCGCCCAAGCAGGCATAGAAGTGCTTGGCCACCCAGTCACGAGGTATTTGCCGGAACTCGCAGGTAACTCCACAAGCGATCCACTACATAGAATCGACTGGAACCACATTACCGTTGGTGCACTCCTCTCACACCAGGCTGGTTCCGGAGCCACACCAGGTACGTCCGTCTCAGAGGGCTAATAGTATTTCATCACGCCGTAGGCTCACTTAGTATTCTTGCAGGTTTCTATGCATACATTGGTGAAGACCCGGCCAGGCAGACCCCAGAAGGTATAGTTTATAGCTGCGCATATCATGGAATGCGTTGATCTGAATCTGTGATAGAGTTTCTAAAGTATATGCGAGATCACCAGCACCCCGTGGTCTCGCCCTTTCGGACGGCTGCATATTCAGATTCCGGATTCGTGCTGCTGGGGGAGTTGCTTGCTCGTCTTTCTGGAGTTGACTACCTCAACACCTTGAACAACGTCCTCTTTGACCCCTTGGGATTGAACAACACTTCAACAACAGCGCCGACCGGGTCAGATGCCAATGTCATCAATCGCTCTAGTACTTGGGGTAATGACGTGCCACTATACGCCGCGTAAGTACAACTGATGACGAAGACGGACCCGGAACTTAAAACTAACAAAAGCTCCTTCAAAGTACTGGCGGCATTTATACCAACTTGGCAGACCTTCGTACTACTGGCCTCTCTATCCTTAATTCCGAGATACTGGACGCGACCACCACCCAAGAATGGATGAAGCCTCGAAGCGGAACCGGCTCACTCGTGGAGCTTGTGGGTGCGCCATGGGAGATCACCCGCTTGATGATCCCCGTCAGTCCGGGTGCGAACCGCACCCGCGTTTGCGATCTCTTTCTCAAAGCGGGCGGGAATGGCGACTACAGTAGTGTCATTGCTCTCTCACCTGATCACGGTTTGGGTTATTCAATATTGGTGGCTGGGTCTACTGCAACTGACGCTCGCTGGCCCATACGCGACGCGGTGGGAGAGACATTCGTACAGGCTGCTGAGTATGCTGCCACAGAGAACGCCCGAGACAACTTTCGAGGTGTGTTCGTCAGCAATTCCTCAGAAGGAACCAATCTCACACTCACCGTGGACGACGATGAGGCTGGTCTCGGGATGAAGTCGTTCTACATCAGCGGCGAGGACAAGCTTGAGAACATTGCAGCCCGTCTCTACCCGACTGGCTTGTATGCGGATGGTACATCCCTAGCTCACCAATACAAAGTGGAGGGGACAACATTGATATCGCATCGAATTATTATGAGCTTGCTTCCGCTCCATCCACGGGCAGCTGTAGAAGGAGGAAAGGGGATTGGTTTGTTCGACCATTCGATGACCTGGACAGACCTCGATGGCTCTGGCCCTTTGGATGAGTTCATCCTTGAATTTGTTGATGGAAGGCTCACGAGCATTCAAGCTCCTTACTACGATCTGATTTTACAACGAGTCCAGGCGTGAGAAGATCTTAAGTATGAAGTGTCTGTTCTACGAGTTCATATGGGCTTGCAAAGCTGAAACACGATAAACAAGGGGAGGGGGCTTGGACTAAGAGTGAGAAAAAATGGGATTAGTCGAAGAGCACACGATTTTATTTAGTTGATATCAGCATTCTGAATGTCTCAGATGATAAATTCAAGTCGTTGTCTTGTCCGATTGTAGTCACCAAGTGAGATATAAATGAACCCTGTAGAGAGTAATGCAAAGCAATCATTTAAGCGCACCAGAACGCTGTTTCCCATGTAATTCGTCTCAAGCTCTACACAGGTTTGTGTGTTTTGCTTGTAAACATTCAAATCGGAACGATGGTGCGCTTTGCTCCGATTGAAAATGCACTGGCCGTCAAGTTTTCTTTGTAAATTGTTGTCGCATACTGGGATGGGCCGGCAAGGGACGGGGAGAGGAAACTGCTGAACCAAATTTGAAGTAAAATTTCTGCATGTCTGCATGTCTGCATGATGGGGTAATTGCAGGCCAGCTTAGGTGCCGTGCACTTGCCGCTAAGCCGCGATAATTGCTGCTTAATGACCAGGATTTGATGCAGCCTCAACTCTTGCATCAGTGGCACTGCTTTCGGTAAGGGGAACCTCGTCTCTGGGAGAGTCCAATTTGAACACAGGGAAAACCCACCAGTCATTGTGACGCATTGTGAGGAGGCAGCCGGCCCCGGGGAAGTGGGAATGTAACTTGCCTTCCGGCAAAACCACCATTGAACATCCGGCACGGTGGCTATGGAACTTTTCGTCGGGAAAGCCGTGTTCACCAGGTGTGGGGCATCGTCTGGCCGAATTAGAAAGTGTAATGCGAATAAGCAACAAACCATCTGACGGTGATGACTCAGATTAAAAACAAACATATGGCAACAAGGTCAGGGATCAAAAGGGGTAGCTAAAGAAGTAATTAAGTGATTGGATGGGACATCTTCGAAGCATTCTGCTTAAAATAAGAACCCTGTCATTAATAATCTAGGCATCATGGCAACAACAAGCAGATACCTGCAGGCTGGCGAGAGTTCCTGCGACTTCTGCCAAGGCAAATTGCAGACAGATCCAGACAAAAACATCAAGTGATGTAACTAAGTGTAAATAAATGGACCAGGTAGGCGAAACGTATGTAACCTGGGCCAGACTCCACGGTGGAGTGTGCACGCAGCTCAGCTTCTGAAAGCGCATTTGACGCATTTGTTCTGTGGTTCGAGACCCCGGCCCAGACTTCAGGAAATATATCCACAGTTACTCCTGAATCCCTCCCCTGGTGGGGCTACCAGACAATGGCACACTAGTTACTCGTTCATGCAGGATCTTCGTCTTCCAATCTCCATGTGCCTTGCGGTATTTGCGCCCGGGCGACAATGCAATAATTGAGTTTGTCGTCCATCCGTCCACCTGGGCAGGGTGAGTTATCCATCTTGCGTTGCCCCAGCCCAGCGCCCGCAGCCAAGATGACCACAAACAAGTCGAGTCAAGTCAGCAATGCCAGCACCGTCAGCACACAAACGTCGCAGATACATCGCGACCTCCTTGCTGCCTCAGCGAGAGGCAACGAAGAGAAGGTCCGCCATGTTCTGAAGGAGGGCTCGCCATGGAGCTCATCGAAAGACCAAGCCGTCCTGCGGAAGGCCCTACAGAAGGCGTCAGCTCGCGACAACCTTAATATCATTGACCTTCTTCTGAGAAGAGGCGCAGAAGTCGATGCACAGACCGAAGACGAGTTTCCTGCTCTTTTTCGCGCGGCGCAAACCGGCCATGCTGCCGTACTGACCGAGCTATTGTCTCAAGGACCAAATTTGGAGGCACACGATCGAAACGGACAGACCCCCTTGTTCGTGGCTAGCGTCAGGGGCTACTCTGACATTGTCGAGCTGCTGATCGCCAGAGGGGCTGCTGTGGATGCGCAAGACAAGGACGGACGCACCCCTTTGCTTGCCATGGCCGCCGACAAGTCGAGCGCCGCAGCGTGGAGCAGCGGTGCCAGCGAAGTTGTGCGACTGCTCGTCATTCATGGTGCCAATGTGAACTTCAAGGACAAGATAGGTCGGACACCTCTTCTTTGGGCGGCCACCAACGGCCACTACCATCTGGTCAGGATGCTTTTGGAAACAGGTGCAGACGTTTCCGCCGCCAACAACAGAGGCCGTACGGCTCTCCATTTGGCCGTGGATAGCACCGAAATTACGCATACCGAAGAGATCATGAGGCTGCTTCTCCAATATCAGGCTGATGCGTGTGCCATAAGCGACGGTGGATGGACGCCACTTCACAATGCTGCCCAGAAGGGTCTAACCGGCGTCGTCGAGAGGCTGCTTGAAGCCGGAGCTTCGATCAATGCTAGATTGACGAATGGCATGACAGCTTTGCACTGGGCAGCATTCAATGGGCTTGAGGAAGTTGTGGATGTGCTGATATCCGAAGAGGAAGCAGACCTGGGCATCAAGGACGGCTTCGGTCGAGCCCCTTGGCTGTGTGCCGCCGAGCAAGGGCATTACGAGCTCATCGAGCTACTTTGTCCGTCAAGGAACAGTCACAGGCTGCCGCGTGCTGTTCAAGACGCCTGTAAAGCGTTTTCTGCTACCGTGGTGGAGTTCAAAGATTTCGGCGAAACACAACGCAAGTTCAAGCATTCTGTATACGACGTACTTTACGGATGGAATCAGAAGAACGGTCGCCCCAAAGTTCCGGCATGGACGAGCACAGTTGGAGCTCAGAATGACTTCAAATGGATCCATCTTCCTACTAATAACGTAAGACTACCTTCCTTAAACACAACGGATGAGAGAACTTACTAATCTATACGTGACAGATTGCATGGGTTGAAACTCTCCTGATTAAGTGGTTTGTCGAGTCTGGTTGTCGAGATCTCGAAGGCTACAAGGCTCTCACAAAGTGCTTTGAACAAGAACACCGTGGCCCATTGCCACACGCTAATTTTATGGTAAGTCGAGATTGGCTTTCTCAAAAGGACCCTGAGAGACAGTATATAACCACAGAGCGCGGTCCACAGCTAGAGATACACTCTTTCTCTCCTTTGCACAGATCATGACTGTTGCCTGTGCAATTCTGACCAGACCCACCTGATCACAGAGACCCTATTGCCAACGTATTTCGAACCTGCATCCTAGTGAAGAGCCGGGTTTCGATGCGGACATGCTGGATATTCGTCCATCTCCAGTTCGCCGGAGCGAGAGCAACCTGTCGCAAATGACGATCACCCAACGAGTCCCTGGAGGTGACGGGAAAATCGTGCTATTTGTATATACCCCTGGGTGGGGCCCTACCTAAGTAAGCTGGATGCTAATTGGACCCGAATGCAGATGCCTTACCTCCATTATGAGACAGATGAAGGGAGGCAGAAAATGACAGACGCAATCAGGCTTGTCGGATCTGCGGACGAAACATCCTCTGATAGCTCCTCTCCAAACTTGTTGTTACTCCAGGCCTACTTGCATGGCAAAACGAAGATACATCCGCGAAGGACTTTAGACCAGTTCTTCTACCACGGCTTGGATACAAGTGCAAGAGACAGGGACCAAGTCGTTTACCGATACTGTGAAGGTCAAGGTCCGTCGAATTGCCCTTAACCCACCGCTCATTGTGTCTCCGCTCTCATTGATCCATGTTTCCGACTCGCGTTGCCTGGGGCCCGAAACATGACAGGATTCTGACACACGACAGGGCATCAACGCAAGATATTCATGGTAGACCAGCTTTGGCTGTTTGTCCTTAGCAAAGGTGTGTGAGACCGAGCGGCTGAGAAGTAACACGACGCTTACATGGTTAGATCTTGTTGTAACGTGCTTTCCCGGACGCTGGGAGCACCAGACCAAAGACCCTCTCAACGTATTAGACGGTATCATGGAAGAGATGAACGCGAAGACTCGCCCAGCCGTACGATCAGCTTATGACCTTGCCATTTTGATCTCATCTCGATGCTCTGGAAGTAAGTCTCGCTACGTACTTGTTCATAATCTATTTGCCCCCGAGGCTCATCCCTTCAATGCGATTCTAAACATTCGTATCACTTTAGTGTTCTCAAGGCACAGATCAGACGACCAGAACTACCAGTTTCTCGATATGTTTGAGAGCTCCGTAGGTCGTGTGACTGAGGAACTGACGCAGCTGTTCCACAACTTTGAACAAGCATCCACCCAATCTCGGCAGTGGCTGCGACCAAAGCGAAGGCACCAAATACTCAAGAGCTCAAAGGATGAGAATAAATCTTTCGACCCCTTGCTAGACATCAGAGCGGAAACCTCCCTTCTTACCGAAGTCAGAGACAGTAAGTCCCCGATGAATATTCTGTGCCCTTGATTGCTGTCGTCATAATGGAGCTTTTCATCGGTGGCTGACTGTTAGCGCCGCAGTCCGTGACGAGCTGAATATACTCACCATGGTCATCAACTCACAGCTATTCACACTGGGTGACTTCAGAAACTGCTTGGTCGATGAGTTCAGCAATGACCGATACGGATCCAACAAAAAAGTGTCGAGCTTCGTCATGGATATTCGCAAGCGGATGTTGGACCAAGAGCGCCGGCTAAAAGTACATAAGCGCGACATCGACGCCATGAATGAGCAATCCGAGAGACTGTACAAGAGCCTCAGAGACCTCCTAGATCTCAAACAGAAGCACTCCAATGCCTTAGAGGCCCGGTTTTCGAGCGAGCAGGCCATCGCTGCAGCAAAGGAAGGACAGACCGTCATGGTCTTCACCATAGTGACCATCATTTTCATGCCAATGTCCTTCATAGCTGCATATTTTGGGATCAGCATCGAAAGCTTTGGAGATGGCTTGCCAGACTCTTACGTGGCAGCCTGGACCTTTGGTGGTGGCTTAGCCATCTCTGTGATATTCATCCTCATGGCTTTCACAGTGGTGGACATAACCAAGGCCGTGGAAACCTTCTACTCTTTCACAAAACGACGTCTCAATACGGATGCGACACCACCTCAAGCAGGCTTGGGTACAAAGCCACTATATCGACATATTACCCCCAAAATGTCTGCCAGTAATCAGACTATGGTCTTCAACGGGGACACGGACGAGGCAGCAGGTCCAGAGAAAATATACCGAGAGTACTCGAAGGCATCAGGCGTGAGTGTGATAACGAGGACGATGTCACATATATCTAATTGGCAGGATACCCCCAAAGATGATGTCGAGAAACAGGCTGGACGGGAAAGAGGGACATATCTTTGCCCGTAAATGTTGATCGAGGCGAGGAGTTCTGTGTCTGTTGTTGCCAATAGATCAGCACCAACTTAGTGAGCCGTGGATAGTGGTATCTCTGCTTTGGATGTAATGTACACTCGAAGGCCCTGCAAACCGACTAATGATAGTAATATAATCATCACCCTCTAGCTACCTAAAGTAGATCTACTCTTTTCTTTTTTCTAGTAGTATCTTATATAGACTATTATTAAATTAGAAAGAGATAAAGAGAATAAGCTTTTTAATAATTTTAATATTAATATAAATAGTTTTATTTTTAATTACTATATATATATAATATATATAATATTGTTTTATAAGAATAAATATTTAAAAATTAATATTTAAAGGAATATAATATTAATAATAATAAAAAGAAAATATAATATATTTATAAATATATAATTAAACTTTATAATATAATTAAAGCCTCCGGTATTAATATAAATACTCGGTATAAATAATATCTTTCCTAATATTTATAAACTTAAACAGTAACATTAACCGCATTAACTAACACTCTCAACAATAAATTCAGCGTGATTATATTTCTGTCACCACTGTAAGAATCCAGATGATCTGCTGCTGGAGTGGCCTTGGCCGTATTTCTCGAAAGAAAAGAGGCCGATCTTATCACTGGCCTACCGATACCTGCCAGTCGTGCAGTCAAATGCGGCGATTGTTGCTTTAACTCTGGCTTTTCGCCAATTGTGATGCAGGAAGAACATTGGGCCGCCGGTAGCTTTCGCAATATGATCCATCGTTACTCAGACAGGGTTATAGCCCTGACCGTGTATTGTTCCCGTACTTTATTCATGTATTGATGTGTACTGTCTGGGTGGCACCGCTAGCGAGCGCCGTATTTCTTTCTTTTAAGAACAGGGGGGAATGCGCTAGATGCAGTATCCGTTTGTGTTGGAGATGCTGTATTACCACAAACGTTGTCTGCTTGACAAAAGGTTCATCTCGAATGTGTTGTCAGAGATTTTCGCGTCCTCGTTGCTCAGCTCACCCTTGTCTCTAAATTATCAAAGTGGAGAATCACACTCTTATCGAGCTGTGTGAGCGCGACATTTGCAGCCTCATCAGGGAGTTGATGCGGTGCATCCACACTCGTGACGCAGCATGTGGGCGTGGGCGGTGATATAGCAGCGGTGCCTCGAAGAAAATGCCCATTGCTTTGTATCTCGCTGGTCTGACGGATGTAAATCAACATTAGCTCATCCCACCGGCTCTCCGCCCCAGCAGCGATGCCGAACGCAGTAGGTAGGCTCATGAAAGAGAGACTCGTGCTCAAACAGCCGGGATGCTTTTTCGAGGCGAGTTGTGACCAAGCTGTGCGTTGAATTGGGTTGGCGCAAGGCGTATTGCTACGCCTCTCGGGGAGATTTGGTTTGACTGTGGCAGGGACGAAGTCATTTTCAAGAGGGCGAGTACAGCTGCCAGTACCTTGGTGGAAGCTGATTGACCCTGGCCACTGCTGATATTTATTGAATAGCGGTCTTGTATGGATGACCACCTGGGCAGATAGACAAGGAAGTGAACATGAACTACTAGTAATAAAAATGACCTTACATGATCGATCTCTTGTCTGTGCGGCGAAAGGCTGAGGTCACTTGTCCACAGACGTATTGCATTCTTTCTATACTGTTATTGGCCTTGTCCTTTTTAAAGGCTAGGTCTTCAGCGTTTACTAGCATATGAAGGCGCCACATATGTTTTACATGTGTGGTAATTAGGAACGAAACTATGTGGATCCTGGCAGGCACCCAATCTGGCCTGTTTGGGACTCTGAGCACCTATCGTCTTATAACCATAGTTATCGACATCCTGTCTTTTTTAAGCGCTGGGTCTTGAGCGCTTACCACCGTATGAAGACGCCATGTATGTCCTCGGACGTATACGGAATAGAATCGAAACCAGCGGACGCTATCAATAAGGCTATCAAAGACCTTCTGCAGACGCATGAGGAACAGATTCACGCCCTTAGAGAGGAACTCGCTGCAAACTCACGCCAAGCAATTAAACGACAAGAGCAGAAGAGGCCAAACGGGCACCCAGACAAGCCGACAAACAAGCCTCCAGACGATAACCCTCATGCAAGTCAAGCAAGGCAAGTAGGTACCACCAGCCAAAGGAGTCCTCAACCAAGCCAAGCAAGCCAAGCAGGTCTCGCCAGCCAAATCAGCCCACAAACAAGCCAAACGAGCACCCAAGCAAGCCCTCAAACCACCTCCTACCACTCTCTAACCGCAGTATATGGCGCTATGAGTACCCTCGGGTATGCATCTAGAACGATCGCAGTCCCTATGCATTGTTTGCACAAGTTCTTGGACAAGGCTGCGGTCATCGTAACGCAGCTTAGAGTTAGAAGGCACTGTGTGAGGGGTTTCGTTCTTGATTCGGAAATATCCCGAGGGCATACAGACCCCGCACATGTGAGTACACGGTTATAGACTAAGCATTTAGAAATTATAATGCGTAGAGTGTTTCTACGAAAAAATGTATTAGCTATTATTATAAGGGTGCTTAGGTGTGCTATAAGTACTTAAATATATAAAGGAAAGAAAAGATTAATTTTTTTTTAAAAGAAATTTATATAAATTAAAAGTTATTAATTAAATACTTTTATTAATTTAATAATTTAAAAATATATAAGTAGTTAAATAAATAATATAATATATAAATTAAATTTAAGGTGAATACTAATATCTCGAACTTAATATATGTGTGGGTATTATATATAAAATATATAACTAGAGCTGAATGCACGCCGGCGGGGAAGAAGCCAGCTCGCCAAATCCGTTTCCCTCGCGGGCTCCTGTTTGTCAGCTAGCCTGCTAAGCCTCTGTTCGACTTGGTTGAAGTGAGACATTCCAAGGTGGTCTTAATAGTAACTCCTATACCTAAGAAAGTTATAGAAAGGCTGATTGCAGCCGGCTATAGGTCTTCGTGGAATGACTCGGTGCAGCCTCGGCTCACTCAAACCCATAGCTATAACCACTAAGGTATGGCTGCCGCGCTTATACCTATAGCCATAGCGCTTCATAAGTGTCTGATGGAATCATGCTACAATACCGTGCGTTTTGCACCGAAAAGTTATGAACACCCTCGTTGCATCATAAGGATCGATCCATGTTTCGTTCATCAAACTAGATTGAAACACACGTGGTGTGTGTGACGTGCATGTCACCTGCACATTGAATACAACATCCATGGATGTAATGGGCCAGACCCTTTGAATTCACTCTGAAAATTTTGGTATGGGTTGGATGACCGATGGGACACAGCAACAACTCGGACTTTAACTGGTTTCGCTTCTATTCCGCATACCTAGATACGTCCGAGGACATACATGGCACCTTCATAGGGTGACTCGGACTTTCAAAGCGACCCGTGCTATCAATGAGCGCCTTACCGTGTCAAGAAACCGCGCGCAACCACATATGTAGCCATCTCGTTCCCGGGTACTTATAGTAAGATTTTAGATATTGCCTATGGGAGTGTGCCTGAGTATTCAAAATATATCAATATATCACATTGGGGCTTGCTGAGACATCCTAGCCTACCGATTGCTTTTTATGTTGCGACTGTAATTATTTACGAATTTCCAGAACACATTGTACCATAATAAACATCGATGTCCCCATATTTCGGCAGATCAAGCTTTTTTGGGCTCCTACTCTCCAGGGCTCCGCTTCTAACCGCACTTAGATTTGACGAAAGGTATGCGGACTTCAACCTCAATCAGAATGCGACGGCTTCGGATCCCCTTGACTACTGGGGGGCATGGCCAGACCATGAATATCATCCGTCACCCGAGAACTGGCGCTTTCCATTCTACTCACTGTATTTGGATCGCTTCGTCAACGGCAACCCCTTCAACGATGATGTAAATAACACCGTATATGAAACGGACCCCACCAGCACCACCATGCGGTATGGCGGAGATATTCTGGGGTTGGTTGACAGCCTGGACTACATTCATGGAATGGGCATCCGGGGGGTCTATCTGGCAGGCTCGGCCCTCATTAACCAACCTTGGGCGGCACACTCTTACTCCCCTATCGATTTAACCATGCTCGATCCTCATTTCGGAACAATAAACGACTGGAGACAGGCTGTTGTCGAGATCCACAAGCGAGGCATGTACGTTGTTTTCGACAATACCTTCAACACGTAAGCTCCATTCACCTTTCCCCCCACCCCTCGAGTGACTAGAGCTAATTTCGCCCTAGGCTGGGGGATCTTTTGGAATTCACAAACACTCCCAACTCATCCACCAAATTTTCGCCCAGGGAGCTCGAGGTTGGGTACAAGACGGAGAGTCGATATCTCGATTTTTCTCTGTCCGACAAATATCATGATAAGTGTCCATGGAAACTACCTCAGTTTTGGGGCGAGGACGGTTTCCCCGTCTCACGTGGACAACTTGACATCGACGAAGGTTGCTACGAAAGCGAATTCGACCAGTTTGGCAATTCAGGCGCGTTTGATGATGGCATTGAAGTCTATCAGCGGCAGCTCACCAAGTTCTCCTCGGCCCAGGATCGTCTAAGAGAGTGGAACCCCACTGTCTTGCGGAAGATATTGCACTTCTCGTGCCTCGTCATTAGCATGCTCGACATCGACGGTTACCGGATCGATAAGGCAATTCAAGTCGCTGTTGAGGCACAAGCCGAATTCTCAAGATACATGCGCGAATGCGCCCGCCGACACGGAAAAGAAAATTTCTTCATAGCCGGCGAGATTGTCAGCCAAAAAGGACTGTCTTCTGTGTATTTTGGGAGGGGCCGTCAGCCAGACATGGTGCCGCAGGACACAGCTACCGCGCTCTATCGAGTGCTTTCAAAGGACGATTATTCAGACAATATTCGAAGCCTAGAGTATAGTGCCATAGACGGTGCTGCGTTCCACTACGGCCTGTACCGTGCATTGGTGGTTTTCCTGGGCATGGATGGATCTTTATCCCTGCCCTCTGGCTCACGGCAGCTCAACTTCCACGACATGTGGCAGGAGTATCTCAAGACGGACGACATGATCAACGCCAACACTGGGGTATTCGACCCGCGCCATATGTGGGGTGTTTCAAACCAGGATGTTTTTCGGTGGTCCAGCATTGAAAGGGGCCGGGAGAAGATGCTCCTCGGGCTTTTCATTACAACCTTCCTTTTCCCCGGAATACCCCTACTGTCGTGGGGAGACGAGCAAACCCTATACATACTCGATAATACGGCCGATGATTATATGTTTGGCCGTCAATCCATGGGAGCGTCCATGGCCTGGCAAATGCACGGATGTCACAGCCAGGGCAGCAAACAATACTACCAGATGGCACTGGGGCCTGCTCGGAATGGCTGCCATGATGATGGCGTCAGTCTTGATCATCGCGACCCGTCACATCCAATCCGCAACATCGTGAAAATTATGAATGCGCGAAGGGACCAGTACCCAGTCTTGCGAGATGGGTGGTTCATGGAGCAGCTCTCGAACCGCACCAGACACTATGCATTCCCGGGTAGTGACGGAATGCCGACTGAACTCGGTATTTGGAGCACACTTCGGGACGCCTTCGCCCCGTTTCAGAATCTGAGCGGACCGGGGGGAGGCCATGAGCAGGTGCTGCTTGTCTATCACAACGAGGAATTTCAGGCCAATTACGAACAGGGCTGTACCGGGCGCAACTCATCCATGATAATGTCGCCATTCGCTCCTGGTACGCGTTTAAAAAACCTCCTATTCCCATACGACGAGCTGGAAACCGAGGATTTCCCGCACAATGAGTCCTCTGGGGCGTCAGGAAATGCTCAGAGTTGCTTAGAGCACGTCGAACTTCTGCCTTACGGGTTCAAAGTATATGTGCGCGTTGACGCTTGGAAACCACCACCGCCCGTGATAACCAGGTTCTTGCCTGGGCATGACGCTCGACTTCTTTCAAAAGCCGCCCCTGGTTTACCTGAATCCATCGATATTAGTTTCTCTTTCTCTCAAGCGATGAACTGCAGCAGTATCACCGAAAACATCGATATACAGTCTCAGAATGACCACGCCGATATTACACCCAATTTACGACCTCACAGTGTTGAATGTTCATGGGAAATGGGAAATGAGGACATGAAATTCAATGGACAACCATCAACCCGGTACACATGGAAGGCCACTTTGGAAAATGTATACCCTGGTGTACATGCTGTCACTGTCGGAAACGCCTCGTCGGATGGGCAGGAGTTCACGAACAGCAACGACCGATTCCTGTTCCGGATCGGGGCCCAGAACAACCCGATGGTTTTTCCTCGACAATCAATGTACCCCACGCATATTATTAGACGGCAGAGCCATGGACGCGGTCTTCAGGCCCATCTTGACGCCCCAGGTGCACAATTGTGGAGATATTCTTTGACGTGGGGTGCCTCATGGAGTGAATGGAAGCCATATTCAGGCGGAGAACATGCCCTGGTAGAACATCCCTGGACAGGAACACGGACCCAAGAATGGACTGGCGAGCATATCATGATCCAGTACTGGAGCCAGTTGACCGGGAGTAGTGCTGTAATGCAGCATGGTGATCTCGATGGACCAGACGACGGCCCTCGCCTGTTTCCACATCTCTTCGCCCACGGGAAATTCAACGAATATGGTCATGACACCAGCTTGACAAGCGAGATCAAGTTTGAGGGGCAATGGAAATACCATTTCATGGGTGAATGGCCGGATGGCTTTGCTGTTAATGTTTGGGGCATAAACCCGGATGGCCAACAAGACCTCTCCTTTGTGTATGGAGATCTGGACCAGGACGGCGTTCTTGATAGATGGATCCCGTCCACGCTGTCCGAAGTCAAAATCCGGTTGGATCACCCGCCCCCATACCCACATTTGGCCTACGAATTCCTACTTGAAAGGGACAGCTACCGTTACACGCTGAGGCCCACTGGAAATAGGTGGTATCAAGTGATCTTGGCTTTGATTTTCTCTATCATTCTACCCTCATGTGGATTGATTGGTGTTTGGTTGTACCAAAGCCTCTTCTGCCGGGTGATAGTCAACCGGAAGGGTTCGCCACGTCGTCGCGAATCTGGTGTACCGCCCCAACACGGGCGACAAATCGCACTAGAGCCTCGTCCCATCTCAAATGCCAGAAGACGCGTCCTCTTTGCGACAATCGAATACGAGATTCCTGATTGGAACATCGACATACGGCTCGGGGGGTTAGGGACAATCGCCATGCTCATGGGGAGATACTTGGATAACTACGACTTGGTCTGGGTTGTTCCATGTGTGGCCGACGTCGATTATCCGTTCAGCGGGGCGAGCGACCCTATGGTAGTATCAGTTTGTGGCCAGAAAGTCCAAGTCGAAGTATACTACCATACTCGCAAGAACATAACCTACATGCTGCTGGACGCGGAAATATTTAGACGACAAACAAAGGCACAGCCATACCCTACCCGAATGGACGATATGGACAGTGCAATTTTCTATTCGGTTTGGAATGCCTGCATCGCACAGGCTATAAGGCGAGTCTCTGCCGATATCTACCACATCAACGATTACCACGGAGCGCTTGCGCCAATACATCTCCTACCCGAGCCTGATGTGGCATGCGTTCTGTCGCTCCATAACGCAGAATATCAGGGCTTATGGCCGATTAGGACCCCAGAAGAGGAAGCAGAAATTTCTGCAGTCTTTGATGTTGATACTAGAACGATGAAGCGCTATGTACAATTCGGTACTGTCTTCAACATCCTTCACGCAGCTGCCAACTATATTAGAATCCACCAAAAAGGTGTTGGTGTCGTGGGTGTCTCGGAAAAGTACAGCCAAACTTGCCTGGTTCGGTACCCCGTCCTATGGGGTCTTGGGCGGGTGGGCAGCCTACCAAATCCTGATCCAACCCAAGTTTCTCACAACACAGAACTGGAAGTCGACCAACTCGAAGACCGAGCCGAATTAAAATCCAAGACACAGAAGTGGGCTTGCCTTCATGACGATCCGTTTGCCGAGGTATTTGTGTTCGTTGGACGAATGAGCAAGCAGAAGGGCATTGATCTCATAGCAGACGTCTTCCCGAGTATCCTCGAGCAGAACAGACACACCCAGCTGATCTGTGTCGGACCTGTGGTTGATTTGTATGGCAAGTTCGCGGCCGCAAAGCTACGAAGGGTTGCCGAGATATTTCCAGGCCGAGTCTGTTGCAAGCCGGAATTCACAAAGCTTCCCTCGTTCATCTTTGGGGGTGGAGATTTTGTCCTGATTCCCTCAAGGGACGAGCCGTACGGTCTTGTGGCTGTACAATTCGGGAGGAGAGGAACATTGGCGGTGGGGTCCAGGGTCGGTGGGCTGGGAAACGTTCCCGGTTGGTGGTACACAATCGAGTCTACCGAGACTCTACACTTACTCTCCCAGTTCAAAAAGTCCCTGCATATGGCGTTGGAGTCAGGTCAACTCGAGAGGGATCGAATGAGGGCCGCGTCGATGATACAAAGCTTTCCCATATCGGAATGGAAAGACAAACTCGAGGAGCTCTACGCTAGTGTCATGGTCAGTCGGCAAAGCAGAGAGAATCCAGGGAATACTCGACTCTTACACATGCAAAGTGTAGAACCCGGAAAGATTATACGACACTCATATCCCCAAGGGTTCTTGGAAAACTTCCGGAGGATAGTGGGCCAAATCGGTTCGTTGATTCCGTGCTACCAGAGACAAAACTCTCGTGATGAGAACTATGGCTTCACAAGACTTGAGGACGGTGTGAGTTTTGGCGATGCCTTCGGCGTGGATATTGAAACCCTTCAAGGAGACAATTATAACACGAAGCATCTACTACCGCAACATACCAAAATCGATGACAACCACGAATATTCCCGTCTCGGCAATCCTGAGCCAACTTTTACCGACCAAAGTGGCGAATTCTACGCACATTATTCAGACATGCTAGGTGGCCTGACTGCAGATAACTCCGAGATACAGCTATGTGTTCAGGATTATCTCGTCCGAAGCGAGAGGCAATGGTTCGAGAAGGTTCGAGATGCGAGGTTTGGTTTGAGTCCATCAACGAGCCGCCACCAAGGGTTAGGATCTCTGAGTCGGAAGGAAGATGATGGCTATCAAGTTCTTGATACCAGACGCAGCTTTGATGTGGAATTGCGCGATGAGGAGATTGAAGTCTATCGCAGAGAGAGCTACAACGTCTCCGGACTACAGAGGTAAGGGGAAGCCCGTAACACTCGCTATTTCACTTCCATGGGGACAAGTACTGATCATTTACGTAAATTTTTAGACGCATGTCGGCCAAAATTTTCGGAACCCCAGGATATACCTATCTCCTCATACTCGGCCAAATCATGTCAGCCAACCCATCTCAAATCGGAATTATCGCGGGCAGTATCACACAGACCGAGCGACAGCTTTACCACACAGGCAGCATCTACGCTATTACATCCATCATCTGGTGGGTGCTGTACCGACGACTGAAATTAGTACATGTGGTATCATTTCCATTCCTCCTATTCGGCTCGTCATATTTCGTGCTCAGTCTTATATTACTAGGAGGTCGCCAGAAGACCTCGGTGGAATGGCCACTGGAGCTGGTGCAGACACTCTATGTTTGTGGATCCTCGACCGCATCTCTATATTTCGCCATGAACTTCATAGAGGAGGAGTCCTCCCCAGTGAGCAGCTGGATCACGCGAGCTGGCTATATCTCTGGGTTGCAATATGGATACCAGGCCCTGTTTTGGTATGGAGGCAACCGAATTAGAGAAAATATCGCCTCGGCTGGCCACCCCATCAGAACCGCCTCACCCCAATGGATGAGCCTTGTTGCTCTTCTTGCAGCGGCCTGCCTGGGATGGGTCTACTACGCACTTCTGCACGGTCTACCTCGTCCGTATGACCAGAAGCCGGGTTCCACACCCACATTCTATAGGTCGCTATTTCGACGGCCAGTACCGTTGCACTTTCTCCTTTCGACCTTTATCCAGTCTTACTTGCTCTCGGCTCCCCTCGTATCCCGGTCCTGGCTGTTCTTATTCTCCTCCCCACACCTCCCGGGCTACATGATCACTCTCCTAGTCGCTATCTCTATCGCTGCGTTCCTCTGCCTCACACGCAAGATGGCGGTGCGCTCCCTCTCACACGGCCAATGGATCTTGCCAATCTTCTCGTTCGCCTCTTCGTCAATTATCAATCCCCGGTGGGCGCAGCTCTGGTGGGTAATCTCCCGCACCGGTTTGTCTATCCCCTGGGCCCAGCTACCACGATTCGGCGGGGAGGGCATTATGGTGATGATGCAGTATTCCCCCGGCCTGTCCGCCGCACTGAGCCGCTCGCTTTGGTTGTATCTCGGTGTCCTCGATCTGTTGGTCGGGCTAGGACAGGGCTTAGCGCTTATACAGACGCTGCCAAGACAGCACGTGTTATTCGTTTCCACGGCGGGTCAGGTAATTGGTGCCGTGGGCATGATGGCTGCACGCGCCACGATCCTGTCGCAGTCGGGCGGGCCTGCCGAAGCGGCACGAGGGCTGAAGGTATTGGCACACATCTTTCCGGATATTTCGAGTGGTTTGGCGCTTGAATGGGGCTATGGCATCTTCTGTTTGGTTGCTGTTGTGGAAATCATCATGGCGGTACAATGGATGTGGTGGTTTCGGTCAGCACAATTGCAGAAGCCATAATAGTCGAATAATATGTGCCACATAGTCTGCGGCCCCCAAATTCCACAGTATGCAATAAGATTGATTCATCAACTGTCGTAATGGCGGACATGAGGCAAGTTTTCGACCACTTGGTCAAATTGTATTGTGTCGAGAAAAGAAAGACAAATGATTTGCAATTATTATGTCAGTAATAATTTAGAATATCAAACATAACAGATTATTATTAATATAGATTTATCTCCACCCTGGACAGCTCATCATTGACACAAACATTCGATGGAACTACTTCTTCGGATCAAAGGCTTGCCATGGCTGATGTGAGTTTCCGACCGAAGATAAACCCCCCGATTCCTCTGTGACAATGCTAACAGACTGGGTCTTTAATATATGATGGCGGCCACTGTCATCAGAATTGCGATCGCCCATGACTGTTGGTTCGAGGATACTGTCTCCTTGGAACCTATTGTTTCTGGTCCCGGTTCGCTGGCTGGAGATCCAGTGTTTGTTATCGCAATTTTCGAGTGGATAAGATGGCGAGAACTGGTTGTTCCTGTAGGCTGAAATGCCCTTGCTTGACCCAAGCGCACTGACTACTCTTGAAACCAGAGGCCGCAGCCCCGTCAATGACCCCGCAACCAGACCAAGGTTATATTCGATGGCCATCCAGTACAAGGATTCCGCACCCACGTCTGTAGGTAAAGATTTCAGCATCTGGTCGAACGCCAGCCCTGGAGTGAGCCCTCAAGTTTGCACTTACAAGTTGTGTCTGAGGATCCGGATTTGTAGAACTGTATGCTTTCGAACCTGATGGCGGGCGCAATGCAGGCCACTAAACCGCTGCCGAAGACCAGCAGCAGTGCCGTCTTCTTGGCGGGACCCATGTTGAGTTTCACCAACGCAGGAAACGGAAGAAGGAATATGATGATGTCACAAGCAAAGAGCGTGGCGGCCTGGTACATGAAGATACCATAGACAATATCCGTCGAGAAGCAGTACTTCGCCCTGTCAGGCGACATCAGGAACTCCAATTGATACCCATATTTCGGTGGGTTGCACTGGAATGCTGCAAGGAGTGTTCCCGATATCGTGAAGAGCACAAGAAATATGATCAGACCGAGAGTGGTGTGTTGAATGTACGCTACAATATCAGTTAATGTCAGATAGATTGCGAAAAGGGACATAGCAACAGGATATGTATCTTACGTGTCGGGAACACTCGCCGTAGTAACAAAAGAATGCTGGATTTTACGGCAAGAGAAACAAACAAGTATATGCATATGCAGATATAGTATAACTGAGTATCGCGTTAGAAGGAACCCTTCGTCATGAATAAAGGGGAATGCATACTAAGAACCACATCGCCAAGTCCTCTTGTGAAACATGTTGGATGTGTTTGCCGACACCGTAGTATACGACAGCCAGTCCAATGCCATTGAATATGGTTACAGTGATCTAGAACTGTCATCAGTACTAGTAGCCTTGAACGATGGCCCTCTGGTCACAGAACTCACTAAACCAACGAGACAAGCCCAGTCATCAAGTCCAAATGCGTTAAGCACGCACCTGCGAACGTAAAGCTGCGAGGATCATGTGTCAGCGGGCATTATTATTCCCAGCTGAGTTGGGAATACTTACCCTCGTGCTGCAAACCAAGATCGCCAACACACCGGTGCATATTATGGTTCCGTACGAGACAGCGATCTGATATTTCTCATCAGCCCCGAGAACTGATTCTTGAGTACCTGACATCCTGGAAATCGGACGGCTGATGCCTGAGAAACACCAGCTGAGGAGAGTTTGTTGAATGCAAGAGGAAAGAGCCAAAAGGAGGGTCAAACAACGGCCCCGGGGAAACAACATGAGTCCGGCTCACTCCGACTCCGTTTATGAGTCGGCGACGGTAGTCCTCACAGGGACTTACGAATCCTTCATGCACTCCACTGTGTCTTTGCAGATGCCAAGCATGGAGAATGGACCCAGGTGGCTAAGCGAGCGATCGACGACGGGGAGATGAATTTATCGGTACCATTTGACAACCCTGGAGGCTGACGGGGCGCCGGCATCTGACCTGACTCGCCTCGTCGGTACCCGAACTTATCTCGTTGTATCAATGTACTACCAACGTATGCTAGTCCTCTTTATACGTTTGGCTTAGAACACGAGAAGATTATGCTACCGGAAGCGCCTTCCGGCATGAACCCCTTGCCAGCAGAGGCTTTGCCAACGACTACAGCGACGATCAATCTCGAAACGATTCAACGGCCGCCCCGATGTGCGGGACGGGTGCCGGCGGGGACTCGTTCAGTGTGCATCATGTTCTTGTGGTGCTGTAAGATGGCGCCACCAGTAATCCTGCAACGCCAGACAATATTAAACTCCACCGTGACCCCTGACACAGCACGTGTCGCCTATGATCTCTCCCCTGTCCAGAGTTCTCTTTGTGCTCCATCCGAGCTTTTTTGCCCGGGTCGCCCCAGTACTGAGATTATTTGCCTGTCGTTTTGGGACCTGCTGTCCAGGCGGCGTGTGCAGCGGTACATATAAGTGTGAAGGGATCTTGTGCACAAGTGGTCAAATACCATTTCCAGACAACACCGTGACTATCTCTGAAAGACCACTCATCGACGATATGACAGACTCAGCACAAAGGTTCCAGGTTATCATTGCTGGTGGTAGCCTGGTAGGCCTGACGACAGCTCTGGCTCTGGAGAAGGCCGGGATCGCTTACGTCTTGTTGGAGAAGCGCGAAATCGCCCCGCATTTGGGTGCATCCATCTCCATCCACCCCCATACCCAACGCGTGATGGAGCAGTTAGGGGTGTGGCCTGAAATCAGGGCAGGTGTACTTCCTCTTGAGGATAGACGACACTATGATGAAAAGGGGGTTTTGTTTGAGGAGTCTTCGATACTGCGAGAGATCTCTAAGCTGTAAGTCGCACCCACTTGCGGTAATAGGGATCAAGTCGCTGAAGCGGATCAACCCAGGTGTCGCAACAGGTGTACTGCTTTCATGGAGCGCAAGTTCTGGCTAGGCTGTATCTACAACACCATCAAAGACAAGTCCTGCGTTCGTGCCAACTCTGGCGTGGCTTCGTTTGTCGAGTCTGCAGACGGTGTCGAGGTGACGACGGAGAATGGGGAGGTTTTCAAGGGTGATATCCTCCTAGGCGCCGACGGCGTCCACAGCCACATCCGAAGACTCCTAGCAGACAAAATAGACGGCACTGATGCTGCTGACGCGCAGCGGATGCGAGAATGCTATGTGAGCACTTATCATGCCATCTTTGCTACCTCGCGGAATCTCAACACGAAGGGCGAACTGTTTCTTCCCGAGCGGATGGTGCACAACGTCTATTACCCAGGCTTCTCTGGAGTCTCTGCCGCTGGTGTTCGCGATCTCGTCTTCTGGTTTCTTTTTGTCAAAAGTGACAAAGTGACCAAGAGCCCCAACACACCACGGTTTACCGAACAGCAAACACTGGCCACAATCGAGAAGTATGGAGACCACAACCTCGGCCCTGGGTACACTTTCAAGGACCTGTGGAACAGTCGAATCAAAGCGAACATGGTGGCGCTTGAAGAGGGAGTGCTTCAGACGAAATGGAATTCTGGTGGCAGGGTCGTCCTGCTAGGAGACGCGGTGCATAAGGCGACAGTCAACCCGGGACTGGGTGGCAATCTCGCGGTGGAAGGCGTTGTGCACTTGATGAACGAGCTCGTGCCCCTCTTGCGCAGGTGCGAGGGGGATGGCATGCGAAAACCGACGAGCACCGAACTGGCAGCCACCTTTGACGAGTATGAGAAGAAACAGCGGCCCCATGCCGACCTCATCGTGAACGCGTCTGGGTACATTACGCGCTACGAAGCCATGGACACATGGTGGCTCAATACCCTCCGTCGCGTCTCGCCTTGGGTCAGTGACACCATGAAGGCGAGTGGGTTTGCTCGATACATTAATGAGGGGCCATGGTTGAATTTCCTGCCTAACCCAGACGATGACCAACGGACAGGTGGTGAGGAAGGTTCGTGAGTTCCAGAGGATAAACACTTCTCCTCGGTTCAACTCGGGGTCCCAAGCGGCGTCCCCGTCCAATGTTGTGGGACTGGCGGATTCTGCAAAGGCCGAGCTGGGGAGCCACAGACAGTCGCGAAAGATAAGCGAAACGTGACTTCTCGTTTTTCTCTTAGAGATTGGAATGAATCTCGAGTCAGTTTCATCAGGGAGCAGTGTGCTGGTGGAGGATCATGCGTGGCGCTGTGGTGGTTGATATTCGATCGGTATTGAAGTCCAGTTAAGCCCATGAATAGTTTATTTTAATATTGCACAACATTCAATTTGATAGGATTACTACTCTTTCGTGCCTGGCGCCGTATGCTGTGGTATCTGTCAAAGGATGTTATGGCACAATAAAGCAGATGGAACCTTGTATTACTCCACAATGCATGACCGGCCAAAGCCAACAAGGTTCACCGCTTCTCAAGTCTAGGAATCGTTACCGACCTCTCAGCAATTCGCAACATTGAAGTTACCTGCAGCGTCTGCGCAGATCTTAGATTGCTTAGTCGAGATCATTGAAATACCCATCACCCCTTAGGTTTCTGTCTTACCTCCAGATAGACTTCAGGCACATTTTGTGAGGTCCGCTCTCAAGGCCGTGACGTCTGTTGGAAATGGGATCTTGATGACTAGAACCAACGGCCACGAAATGAGATGGGGTGTGCGTCACCAAAACGGGTCTCCCTCTCCTTCTCTGCCATTTACGGCAGCTCATGCGCCATTTACAGCCTCCCCACGTTCCAAGTGCGGCTCCAGGCGGGATGACTGGACCCATACAGAATTTCGGTTGCGTATAGGTTGGCCCTCGTTGGGGACCCCCAGGCTGTCAGACAAGGTTTCTTACGTCGCGGGCCGTCCTCAGCTTTACTCAGTTTGGCTAGCAGTAGATGCGTTCCGTCGACTTCATTCCGCCTCGTTACTCGTGCCGCTCATCTTTAACCCAATGGATCAAGCGATGGGTTCCATATGTCCGTTTGCGGATAGGATTTGCCCATCCCACATGTGCACTGACTCAGCCCAAGTGCCAAGATTTACCGGGCGAAGCAATCGAGGGCGGCTTCATAGCACACCATGATTCAACGACGCCAGTGGGTAAAGTCTCCCAATACTACACGGTATGGGCACAGACATTTGGGACGCAGGCAAGGCAGCTCAAATCAGTCGCCCTGTGATTTGCAATAGCACAGCAATAAGTTCCACGAGTGGTCCATGCACTCTGCCAACAAGGAGGAACCGGGTCTCAGCTTTCAACCACAACAAATTCTCCGAGCCACGTGTGGCGAAATGGACTAATTGGTAGCCATCAGTAAATGGGGTTGGAATACAACTCACAATTATCAAACAAAGAAAAAAAGGGATTACAGTGTATTTCGCACTTGCCGAAGCAGATAAAAGTGAACACCTCTTGGCGAGAACCCCGCGTGCTTATATACTTCTAGCAGCATCCCGCTGTCACAACATCAGTTTACAGCATCTTGCATCGTCATTCCTTAACACCTAATTGTGTCTTCTTAACCGTCGCTCGTTTCTCCTTCTGACATTTTGTATTGAAAATGAAGACCCCAACTCTTGTCAGCCTTCTACTGGGCTCCTCCGCTCTCGTCAGTGCGAAAGGGCACAACCGCCCCAGACGGGAAAAGGGACTAGAGGAATATGCCGCGGTCTCGTTGCTCGACACGGCCTGCGAGACCGAGTTCCACCCTGACCAACTTGACATTGCCTGGGTCGAGCTCATCGCATCAAACACAATCCTACGGGTAAACCTGACGAGCGGGGAACAGACAAGATTCCCACTCAACAATCCCGTGGGCCTGCCCAGCGGCATGGAGTTCCTGGCGGACGGCAACCTATGGTTTTCCGAAGTAGTCGGCAACAGCATGGTGAAGCTGGACCCCAAGGATGGTAGCATGACCGAATATCCCTTCCCTTGGACCAACATTTCTGTCCTCGATAATCTTCCTGCCGGCATCCGCGTCACCATTGACGTCGCTGGCGGCCGCGACCGTGGAGCGTGGTTCACCTCCGTCGGTCTCAATGCCATCGGCCGTTTCGACATTGACACGCACGAGTACGATCTTTACCCACTGCCGAACCCGCTGTCGGCCCCTCTCATTATCCAAGCTGGCCCGGGCGACACCATGGTCTTCTCGGAGATCCTGGGCAACAGGGTCGGCACCATCGATGTCAACACCAAAGAGATTAAGGAATACGAAATCCCAACACCGCTATCCCTTGTTCAAGGTGTCGCGACGGACAAGGATGGCCTCATCTGGTGGACCGGCACAGGTGGTTCAAACTTTGGCACCGTCGACGTGACAACAGGCGAGGTGACTGAGATGTTCATTGCCGACATTCGTGCCGCCGGAAACTCCACTGTGGTTGATGAGGGTCTCATTAGCATTGGTTCCTCCGGCGCACTGGCTTTGCCCGGCCCGGTTCGTGTCGGTAACGATGGCAAGGTCTACTTTGTGGAGGGTAACCTGGTCTTCCTTGGGAATCGCGTTGCGCAGTACGACCCTAAGACTCAGCAGCTTGTGGAGTATGTCACTCCTACTAGCCTCAGTGCCCCTTGTGATCTCAACAACCAGCACCCAGACGCTATATTCTTTGCCGAGTTTACAGGCGGCCATCTTGGTCGCCTGAACTACTAAGGGCTGTAGCTGAGCAAGCCAGCCAGGAGGCACCGGCTACTGGTAACGCCGACGGGTCTAAAAATGCCATGTCCGCCTTGACCAGGAGGCTAAGAACATAATTTCTCTTCCACCAATGTATATATTTTATTATCCACATACCTTAATTTCACCAATGCCAGTGCTGCAACCCTTCACTGCACACACATATCTGAAATGTGCGGCCACCTAGTTGTTACGGATTCAAGACGAGACACCATTGAATTTGCACACCATTCCATGGAAGATTATCCTGTCCGCGCCCAGCAGGACCTATTCTCGCCCTTTCCGGCTCACAATTTCATCCCCTCTAACTGCATAGACGTCGGCTCACGTGGTCCCCTGGGTGGCCAGCCATTGGAAAGGCAGATCACTAACATCTATTATGTGTACTCCACCTTTCACTAGGCAATGCACTTCGAAGATTCTGAAGCCACTAGGGGAGATAATGAGCTCTTCTCGCACATGTTGTCGTTTATTATTGGCGCGGATGAGATGACAGTCAGTCTTGCTTTTGAAACCTGGATGACAAAAGCCGCTGACTTGGTCGCCCTGCTACCATATCATCACCCCATGGAGGCGACACTCGACACCGTATCAAACGACCGGTTATCTCCAATCTTCTTAGCAGCTATGTTCGGCCTTAATAGGCTGCTCGAGTTCCTTATAAAGTTAGATCCTAAGACTAATTAAAATTAATAAAATAAAGTAAGTTATATAACTTTTTATATTATAATTATAATATATTATATATTTAAATTAACTTTAATTTTAATTTATTTAATATAAATTAAAATAATAATTATATTTTATTAGATTATATAAATTACTTTAAAAATATAAATATAAATATATATAATAATAATTATAATATTTAAAAACTTTAAAAATTAATTAAAAATTATTTTATTATTTATTTTATATAATAATAAAATATAATAATTAAATTTATTAATTATAATAATTATTAAAAGTTAAAAATATTAAAATATTTTATTTATATTAATTATATATTAAAGTTATTATTATTTAATTTAAATATATTAATTTTCTATTATAAGTTTTTTATTTTAAATTTCTTTATTAATTAATAAATAAAAATAAAATTAATAAAATATAATAAATATTTAAAGATTTTTATTTATTATTTAATAAATATTTTTATAATATAAAATTTAAAGAAATTTAATTTAATATTAAATAAATTATTAAAATTAATATTAATAATATTAATATATTTTATTATAAAATATTATTCTTTAATATTTATAAAAATAATATTAATTATAATATTCTAAATTAACCTTTAATATTTTAATAATAATATAATTATATATTATAATATTTTTATTTTTATTTTTATTTATTTAAATATTAAAATAATAAATTATATATTTAATAATATTTATAATTTTATTAAGTTTATTACTTTTTATATATATTATTTTTTTATTATAGATTACTTTAATTATAAAGTTTCCCTACTCATTAATTCCTTTAATATTATCGCCTCTCTATTATACTTAGGCACTTTCCTTGCGGTCGCCAATCCATCGGATTCAAGCGGCTCCAGCCGAACCAGCGGGGCTGGTTGAGCTGCCGTGGTCGCCATTTACGTGGTCGCTATCGCCTACGCGTTCTCTTGGGGCACAATCCCTTGGCTCATCAACGCCGAGGTATTTCCAATCCAAATTCGATCAGTGTGCATGTCCATGTGCATCACCTAGCAATACCTAGTCAACTTTGCCCTCACATGTGCGCAGCCCAACATGCAATATGCATGCGTGTGGCCCGTTCCTATTGTTTTCAATAGTCACCTGTCTCATGACTGCCCAGGTGTGTACTGCTACTTTGCTTTTCCCGAGACCCGCGGTTTGTCTATGGAGGGCATGGAGGAACTGTTTACCATGTCATGGTACAAAGTCGGTCGTGCTAGTGTCTAGATTATCAGGCGGAAGGACGAAGCTCCATTTGATAAGAAGCTAGGGGAAGATTTAGGGAAGGATGTGGAAGTTGTTCATAAAGAAGATATCAGGATAGCTATTACTTAATTAGGCTATATTTAATAAATCACCACCCTAGGTATTATATATTCTTAACTTGAAACTTTAATAAGAGTACCTTAGGGTATTTAGGGCCCCGGGTGGGATATCCGGCATGCCTTACGTAACGGGTCCCGGACGAGAATTTTCAAGTCGCACAGCAGCTTACGCACATCACTAGTTCATAAGCTTCCCTAATAAGTCACATTAAGGAGTGATAGTTAATACGTGTGGCATACTCATTGGTTACTTTGAGTGGATCATCTGCGAGAGTCTGGCAGTGCACGGAGCTCGGCATAGCTTTGCCGTACACAAGCGGATAATGGTCTATTAAAGGGCATGTTTCCTCACAGTTTTGCAATTCCATCCTGCTTGTGGGCACCCGCACGAATGATGGGACTCAATTCTTGTTGACCAGAAAGCGCTCTCATTCTCCAGTAGCGGCTGTTGCACCTCAAGTGGGCAACACCCATCCTAAACTCCAAGTGCGAAATCCTGACAGCCGGTAGATCAAGCTTCAGCGAATACAGAGTTAGCAAACACACATCCAGAGGATATAGGCTCAACACATATAGAAGTGGAAGCTTCAGTAACATTCACGGATAGCGCCAATTCAGAACCCCGATCCTTATCTCCGAGCGACGAAGAGAACAAGATGAACCGGCAAGATGCGCCTTATCTTTGTCACAGGTGCCGGAATCTTGATTTTGCCAGCATTTTCTCTCGGGAAAACATAGAGAGAGGGCAAGATACCATCCTTTCTTTCGGCCCTGGGCATAGAGTTCTTGATGATGAACGATGTTCATTCTGTCAGGCTATGCATTTCATCAATCCTTTCGTGGAATTTCTTCCAGAATGGACGCAACGCAGACCAGCATTAAAAGGGATAAGAACTCCTAATGAGGCTGGTCGGGAAGACGATTCGGATGGGACCGAATGCAGAATCTGTCTGACCTTCGGATTTGATGATGCACCTCCTAGGACACTCGATGGCACACTCCATGTTCGATTATTCTTACATAAGTTGGTCGGCTACCTCGCAGAGACACGGACAATTGAAGCAGATAGCAATGCTCTCCCCGCGGCTTTAATCAAACCCCGAGTCGATTTCCACATGATCAAGAAGTGGTTGAGACAGTGTTGGAAAGGACATGAGCAGTGTGGAAGCAAACGAGGAAAATACGTTGAAAAGGTACCAGGCATGCGGCTGATCGACTGCGAAACTCGGACTGTTATTCCTGCCCCCGCAGGAGATGTTCCTTATGTCGCCCTGTCTTACGTCTGGGGCGATTCCGGAGGGATTGCGTCTGGGGAGGGGCCTATTGCTCAAGATGATTCCGAACTACCGAATCACCTCCCAAAGACAATCCTGGATGCTATCTCGGTAACGCGAGAGTTGAACGTGTGCTTTCTCTGGATCGACAGATACTGTATACGACAAGTCCCTCGAAACCAGGAAGAGAAAAACGAAAAGCACGAACAGATTGCGCAAATGGATCGTATCTATGGTGGCGCATCAGTAACCATCATAGCTGCTGCCGGTGCAGGACCAGATCATGGGTTACCAGGCGTAGGAACGGAGCGCCGATGCCCTATTGTGCGTCTTCCCGACTATACGCTCTGTGCAACACTTCCAGATCCAAAATGTGTGGTAGAGGCCTCAGCATGGTCTACAAGGGGTTGGACATTCCAGGAGGGAATGTTGTCAACACATCGCCTTGTCTTTACGGACCAGCAAGTCTACTTCGAGTGTGAAAGAACGGCACGTGTTGAAGCATTGGAGGAACGAAACAAAGAGCTCCTGCTCAAGGGCCTCCATCATACCAAGATGGATCTTCCTGTTCCCTATCTGTCATTCGGCGCACTAGGAAACCAATCACTCTGGCCGAGGATAGATGAATATGTCAGACGTACCATGCGAGATCCGCGAGATATCCTAAACGGTATTCTCGGTGTTCTGACATTTTGCGAAAGAGGTTCCAAGAGACAGAGACATGTCTCAGGTCTTCCGATCGAGAAAGGGGCACTAGCTTTGGAATCCTGGTCACAGAGATTTGCTGAATCTCTATGTTGGGAATGCGACTGCCCCGGGGAGCGACGCGTCGGCTTCCCTACTTGGTCATGGACTGGATGGACCTGCACGGGTTTGGGTCGAAATGACTTCGGGCCGCTCACTCGCCCCTCCCCAGACGAGGTTACAGAATGGGTTATCTCAATTGAAGGGGTCATGGACGAACCAAATGACCAAATCGACCTCGTTGCGCTCTTTGAGGCGAAGCATGACCTTTCACGGGTGTTTTGCCTTCGTGTGAGGGCACCATACTTGGAAGCGGAAATTATACCTATGGATGGGATACTAGAGGAACAACGGTTCTGGGCTGAACACCAAATTCATGATCGGACCTATGCTGTTGACAATAATAGCACCCTGGGTGTACAATATCGTGGAGTTCAGGAAGTTTCTTTCATTAACCTAATGGACTCCACGATGGTAGGTCGGGAAAAGATCCAATGCTACGGTCTCATTTTGGATAGGGATCTGTCTGAGGTCCCGGACGACCAGCTGGGCCAGCGTGGGCGGCATTATGCTACTGCACTTCTAGTGATAGAAAAGGGGCAAGCATTTGAAAAGATTAGTGTTGCCGGCATTAACCGCCACAAGCTCAAACAGGCCGACATAGCTATAAGGGATTTTAGACTAGTATAAAAGTAGTAATATACTCTCTCTTTCCCTTTTAAATATAAGATTAAAAGATTTATAATTATAATTTTATAATTAATTTTTTATTTAATTATATTATATTATTATAATTTTATTTAATTTTATTTAATTTTTTTTTAATTTTTTTTTTAAAAAAGTTAAATTTAAAAAAAAGTTTTTAAATTTAAAACTTTTATAAATTTTAATTTCTTTTAAATTAAATTTAAAATTTTTAATAT